TGAGATCAACACAAATACTTCATCCACTTGATGACAATGCTTCTGACACTGTCATAAGAGCCAGAAAAGAGTTGTGGAAAAATATTAAGAATAAACTAAATGATTTGAAAGAGGGAGAAGACGTAACATTTGATCAACTTATGAAAGAACTAGATGTTTCAGAATATCAATATATTCTTGCAATTCGATCATCACTAAATTGTCCAACAATATTTCTAAAAAGAAGTCCCAATGAATTAAGGATTAATAATTATAATCCTGCTTGCCTCCAAGCATGGAGAGCTAACATGGACATTCAATTTGTGCTTGATGTATATGCCTGTGCAATGTACATTGTTTCCTATATTTCTAAAGCTCAAAAAGGAATGAGTGACTTGTTACGTAACGCATGTGCTGAAGCTAAGGAAGGTAATTCCACCATCAAACAACAGGTTCGTGACATTGGCAACAAGTTTTTAAACTCTGTTGAAATAAGTGCACAAGAAGCAGTGTACATCATTCTGCAACTTCCCATGAGAAAATCTTCTCGAAATGTGAAAGAAATGGTTGAAAGCGACACAAAGTGGTTTGCAGAAAAGATTGCTATGGAAAACGAAACTGAGCCCAGACCAACCACAGTTACATGTGCAAAACCATCCCCTGGATTCAAGCTCACCATCGACAATGTTGACTACCATCAAAATGTCCACTACATGACAGAACACCAGAACATTGATAGACACTATGTGACAGTCAATGCCACCACAAACAGGATATCTGGAAACCATTTGAGTACGGACAGCCCTGTACCTGGTATTAAACAAATGGAAAATGGCAAGTGTATTCCTAATCACATCGAACAAAAAGTACAGAGAGCAAATTACATCACGTTGGTCCAGAGAATTCTGGTTGAAAATATTCCCTGCCTTGAATTTGGACAAGATGTTGTTGAGAACCACATTCACCACAAATACAGCAAAGAAGCATCACAACCAACAAATTCAGTAAGTTTATAATTTAATAATTTATATTATTATATTAACTGTCCTTGTGAATATGTGATTTATTTATCATGGGCTTGGCCCTCAGTGAATAAATACATATACCCTAATTGCCTCAAAATAACCAAAACATTGAGGTACCTGAGAAAGACACCTAACTTGAACTACTTTAATTTCTTTCAGAATTTCCTTGGGGTTATTTTCGAGAGTGAAAACGATGCAAATGGCATACAGAAAATATTACAGGAACTCCATGGTTATGTTCCGTTCGTTGGCGATGGAGAAGAACGAAGATACTCAAGTCAGGCAATCGTTGGAGATCAGCTGACAGTTGAAAGAGCAGTGAATGCTCACATGACACTCAGCAATGGTTTCACCCCAGAAGAACGCTTAGATGGAATTCACTGTGAGATTGCAGATTGGCATGCTGGAAACAAAGCACTTGGAGTAAGGATATACTCGAATTAATAATAATATAATAATAATAATTAGTTTTTTATATAGCGCATCTTCCATAAATGTCCAGATGCGCTTTACAACTTGTAACTTACAATATTTATACAACAATTGCTTAATTTAAAGTTTTGTAAAATAGACTATAAAAATCGATCTAAAAATAGTTAAAATTACTCTAAATAAAATCCTTATATACAATTCGGAACAAATGTGTTTTCAATTCTGATTTAAAAGATCCTATAGATTCACATAGTCTTACATTCTGAGGCAGATTATTCCACAATATTGGTGCAGATACCCTAAAGGAACGTCTACCATAGGTTTCCAAGTTATAATTTGGAACTACTAATTTCCTATCTGATGATGATCTTAAATTTCGCCTAGGCACATAAACTTCCAACAGGTCAGAAATGTATCCTGGTGCTTGTCCAGATAAAGCCTTAAAAGTGATCAATAGTATCTTATATTGAATCCTTTCCTTGATTGGCAGCCAATGTAGATTGAATAGCACTGGTGTTATGTGATCTCTTTTCCTCGTTAATGTGACAATTCGTGCTGCTGCATTCTGAACTTTCTGGATTCGCTCAAGAGCAGTGTTCGGTAGTCCGTGTAACAATGCATTTCCAAAATCAAGTCGGGATGTAACCAGAGCATGTACTAAAATCTCTGCAGATTTAAGGCTGAGATATTTTCGTACTTTACTGATTTTCCTTAAATAATAAAATCCAGATTTGCAAATGGTTGATACTTGTGATTCCATAGTAACATTTGAGTCCATTATAATCCCAATATTTCTCGCCTTGGTAGAGAGGCCAATGACATCATCACAAACATTTATATAAGACAAAGATGGACTTGGACGATGGCGAGCAGAAAACACCAGTATCTCCGTCTTGTCACTGTTTAACTTTAGCTTATTCATGGTCAACCATTCATCTAATTCACGGACACACTCTTCGATCTTCGTTTTTGCAACTATCAGATCGTCTGGATTACTTGATTTGAAAGTAACATATAATTGCGTGTCATCGGCATAAAGATGGAAGTCGATGCCCAATGATCTCATAAGGTCTCCAATTGGTGCTATATACAGTGAAAAAAGCATTGGCCCCAAAATACTACCCTGTGGAACACCAGATCGTAGAGTGCGTTTAGTGGATTGACCACCCGAGACATGCACCGTAAATGTTCTTTCATTAAGATATGATTCAAACCACTTATGAGCCTTTCCAGTGATTCCATATCTAGAAGATAGCCTGGACAATAATATTTCGTGATCAATCGTATCGAAGGCGGCAGAAATGTCAAGCAGCAATAAAATCACTGAATTTTGATTATCAATGGCTTGTAGAATGTCATTTTGGACCTTTATTAATGCCGTCTCGGTACTATGGTGTTTCTTGAACGCAGATTGCATGGGTTCGTCCAAATTATTACTTGTGATATGTTGATCCAACTGAGTTGCTACCACTTTCTCTATGCATTTTGATACAAATTTAAGGTTTGAAATAGGCCGGAAACTTGAAAATTCGTCAGTGCTTAGACTATCTTTCTTAAGTCTTGGATCAAGAGCAGCACATTTTAAATTGTTTGGCACAGTGGCTGTTTCCAGTGAAATATTAGTTATTTTAGTGATAACCGGTAATAAATCAGTATAACATTCCATTAGTACCTTCGCTGGGATTGGGTCAAGTATGCATGATTTTTTAACCAGTTTTCGTGTGAGCACAAGCAAATCCTCCGTCGTTGTAGGCGCAAATGATTCAAGTTTGGTGTCTTTTGATAATAAAGTTGTGTCCATGATATGAGAACATAATAGATTTGCAGATTTTGTGGACAAATCCTTTTTGATGGAATCTATCTTGTTGTCGAAAAAATCTGCAAAGTTATTTGCAAGCTGTTCAGATGAAGCACATGATGGGTATTTCCCTTCTACTGGCATTTTAAACATCCTATCTATTTTCTTGAAAAGTTCTCCTTGGTCCGAGCCACAGTCGTTTATCATGTCTTTGTAGTAGTTGGTTTTTGCTGCAGAGATAGTCCTATTTACAACAATACATTGTTGGGTGTACACCTCTCTATCCACTGTAAGCTTGGTAGTTCTCCATCGACGTTCCAAGCGCCTCTTTCTGATTTTCTGTTCTTGAATCTCAGGTGTATACCAAGGAGTAGCAGGACGTAGTGTTACTGTCTTGGTTTTAACAGGTGCATAGGTATCCAGCAATGTAGAAAGTACGTTTTGATAAGATTCGGCAAGCGTAGATGTATTGGGTGTTTTAAGCAGACTAGAATTTTTTATGTCGGTACGAAAACAAATCGAAATTAATCGCTTTTGTGTTTCTGAAACTCACTTGTTTCCTTACGGAAGGTGGTTTAGCAAGCAAAAGTTTGCAGTTCACCGCCGAGTGGTCAGAGATTTCAGGGTCAATGACATCTATATTTGATACAAATTTGTCGTCAGATCGTGTTAGTAATAGATCCAGTGTGTGGCCTTTTTTGTGAGTAGCAGTAAGTACGTGGTTTCTGTAGTCAAATGATGTCAATAAATTGAGGAACTTCTTCGCAGATGCATTACTTGAGTCATTAACATGGAAATTGAAGTCTCCTGCGATAAGGACACTACCACTACCAGAATAAGGTACAAGTTCTTCAAGTAAAGTAGAGAATTCACTAAAAAAGGTGGATTCGGTTAAATTATTGTTTTTTGACGTTGGTGGTCGATATATAACAATAATTCTTAAAGATTTCGATGCGGCCTTCACGGTTAAGTCCATATGTTCAAATGATTTAAACTTGTCATATGTAGGATTTTGCTTGAGATGCAGGGACTTTCTATAAACTACAGCGACTCCACCACCACGAGTATGTCTTGGGACGTGTAGAAATGCATAACCATTTGGAGTAGTCTCGTTTATTTCAAATTCATTGACATTTCCAGGAGAGAGCCAAGTTTCTGTTAAAGCTAAAATATCCACTTTGCGATCTACGATGTAATCATGTACAAGTGCCCCTTTATTTTTAAGCGATCTTGTATTTAGTAGACAAAAATGAGTGGCTAAGCTTGGCTTAAAGGATGGGACCATACGCGTACAGGCGATTTTAATCAGGTTATTCCGCTCAGGGCGTTTATAATATGGACATATATTTCGTGACTGTGTTGTTATCCTTGTTTGAATGGGGTATTGTTGCCCATTTGTCCAATGCTCATTAGTATTCAAAACCGAGTGGCTAGTAATTTTCTGGTGATGCCTTGTAGGATTTCTTTGACCCTTTCCTAAATTCATACCACTCATCTGAAACTGTTCAAAACTTCTTGAAAACGTAGTAGATATATACGGCAGACTATTGTGGACCAACCACTTTGGCGATAGTAAATCTGTTCGCGAATATCGTATCGAGCGTAATGCCGCTGCTGTTGCACAAGACAAAAGTTTGTCATCTGATTTGCCGTATTCTGATTTGCACTGAGCATCTGGTCCTGGATTCGGTGATATGTCAACGTGAACCGTAAGATCGATGACAAAAGGCCTGGATGGAAGCGCCAAGCATGTAGTTCCATGTTTAGTCTGCTTGGTTAGGACAAACGACACAGCAAAGTGAGATTCCAAATTAAGTCTCCTGATAACAACACAAGCAGCAGCAGGCAGTATATATTCACATGAAAATAATCCAAATAACAATCCATCAACGTTCAGTCGATGGATATCCTTTGAGTAAGAGTCCTTAGGAACAATATAAGGTCTAGTAGAATAAGTCTTACAATCAAGTAAGGCTGAAATTATAAAAATCTTTAAGAGCTTAAAACTAAAGGTGTGACCGACGGCCATATTTGCATAATGTATTTCATGGAATGTCCCCCAGAAGAATTTATGACCGGCTCAAAAAAGATGTGAAAAAGAAACTTCACTTTTCTGGGCTGGTGTGTGAGCCACCAAAAGTTTGCGAGACCTTGCAGCACAGTAAGCCGTTTTGAGAATGTTGAACAATGTGTTAGCGAAGTAGCCGAAACAACAAACACCGACAAACAGTTGTCAGTAAGCATTATTGCTCCTTCTGAAAGAAACAGCAATTTTTCAGATGGCGAAATTTGTATTCTTCACAAGATGTTTGAACATATGATTGTCAAAGGGAAATGGATATCGAAGGTAGAAATTGAAAAGCGGTGTGCTAAAAGTCAGGATGGCTGAAAACTTGTCGATAAACTGTCTTCCATGCAGATTCTTAATTGAATCAAGTACGAAAGAAGAAAAAAGATGCTCACAGGTTTGGGCGCTAAGTGAAGTCGCAGGACAATTACCATGCCTGCGATTTTAGTCCCGTTTACACTATACTGGATTGCATTGGAACGTTATGATTTCATTCGGCTGCTGTTTACACTACGCCATAGTAATCCGGTACAAGACGTGGCATGGGAATCACTCCGCTTAGGAGGTGATATGAAAAGTAATCCGGTATGTGCTGAAGCAGTTTAGCAGGCCAATCCAGTACGTTTCGGTACAAAATTTGGCGTGTTTATGTTTTGCCATTGTCGCCTTTATTTGCTCGTCAATTTTGGATTAGAGCCAGGGCCTTTCAGAGGGGGGGGGGGCAAAGGGGCAATTTGCCCCAGGGCCCCAGTTTAAGGGAGACCCCCAAGATTTCCCAAAGAAAAAAAGTGTGACAACCTTTGAGAAATGAGAAAACCTTTGATCCTGTTGCTTTTGAAAATGACGTTTCTACACTGCCTTTAAGTCCGATCTATTCTTATGACGATCCAAATGAACAATTAGATGTTCTTGAAAAGCTATTCAATGAATGCCTGGAAAGATACGCTCCTATGAAAAGGGTTAAGGTAACAAGGCCACCTGCTCCATGGCTAACGACTGAGGATTTCCAATCTCTCTTAGCTGAGAGAGATCGTTTGCGGAAAAAGGCTCATACACCTCATTCTACTCCTAATGACTGGGCTGCTTTTCGAAACATAAGAAACAGTATTAAGATTAAAATCTGTGAAGCAAAGAAAAACTTTGTTAAGAAAGCACTATCCTCTAATAAATCGAAAGAGATCTGGCGTATTACCCTTACCAAAGCAAAAGTATGGGAAAGATATGGCAAAGTTTGGGCCATATATGACCCATATGTGGGCATGATATGGGACAATATAGATATCATGTGGGATTGGTATGGTGTCTAAATTTGTTAAATATTGAGATATGGAAAAGCTATGGAAACAAACACATTGCTATTAATCCTATGGGAAATCTGTGGGGTTACTTGGTCCATAGGTAATCCATATCAATGGCATGCTTTTACATATAACCAATTCTATGGGAATTATATGGTAGTCCACACTTGGTTGTCCCATATACTTCCCATACCTATGGGAATTATATAGTAGTACACACTTGGTTGTCCATATAATTCCCATATATGGGAATTATATGGTAGTCCACACTTGGTTGTGCCATATACTTCCCATATCTATGGGAATTATATGGAGTCTGAACTTGGTGTGGTTCTGGCCTCCAATAGAGAATCCATACATATGCATATGATTTCTATGGCAATGCTATGCCAACACTTACGAAAATTTCCTATACGAATTCCTATAAGAAATGAAATTCCTATAGGATTTGAGAATTCCTATAAGAATTCATATAAGATTTGAAAATGGTGAAAAACGAAATTCCTATATATATACTAATATACATATAGGAAATAAAAATTCCTATAGGAATTCCGATAGGATTGGAAAATAAATTTATTCTAACATTAATTAAATGAATAATTACCGCAATGTGCGCGACCAACAGACTGGTGTCTAGTTTTTTGCCACACGCACAAAGCATCTTGGGATAGGTCATCACACCTCCGATATTTTATAAATTTTGTGTTTGTGAATGCTTTATATGTTCAACATAGAACTATTTTTGATGAGATTCAACTGGATTTTCACTAGTAATACATCCGCGATGTTTGTATAATGTTCAGGTGAGCATATGTTTATATTTTGTTTATAATAAAGCAAATTATAAAGGAATACCTAGTCCAATATTCATTCGTGAAATTCGAGCATGTGTTTCGATCGGTTTAAAATTTGAATTTGCCGCGACAATAATGGATTAGAACGCTGATATAAACATATTTATCTGTCTTTTATACTTCAATAAATGCTACTATAAGAGTTTTATATTTGAATTAGACTTTTCAATGTTTATTGGTTAATATATTTGTATATGCTATAAACTGTATATGCAAGATTAATTGCAGACATTAAGCATGCCTATACATATAGACTATATAGTACTATATGCTCATATTACATATAGTTTGAAAATTTATCTACTTGCTCAAATCAGCAGCAACCTTCCTAAGATTCTGATATCAAATTAAAATTGATATTTCATTGGGAGAGGTGTAATTGCACCAGTCAATATGAATTAAAATATGTTAGCCTTAGTGTAATGCCAGGAAAATTCTCCATATTTTTTATGAAATTAACATTTAACTATGTGATGGTATATTCAAGTTAACGAGACTCTTTACTTACATTTCACACTAACTCGTTAGGATGAATATGCTCAACTTTCAGTACTTTTTTATTTTACCTTGTCTAACACCAGATCAAATATTTTACTTGTGAAAGAGAGTGGACAACTTTGATAGGTTATCTTGCTCAGTGGCGTAACGTTATATCAAGGGGCCCCCGGTTCAAACTTTTCGAAGGCCCCCCTAGTAAAATTGCCAGAGCCACAAGTCGAGCGCCGTATATGCACAAGTTTTCTAGTGGGTCCAGAGCATGCTCACCCAGAAAATATTTGAATCTAGACTCTCTGAAATGCCATTTCCCAGACTTTGGGGAGAGATTTTACAGAATTCTGATGGTCAGAGAATGGCATTGTTGCTCTATAGGCTATAGCCTGAGCCTGGGGGCCCCCGTTGGGGTTGGGGGCCCCCGGGTTCTCCCGGTCCGAGCCCATAGTAGTTACGCCACTGATCTCGCTGTCCCCCTGTGTTATGTGTAAACTCATTAAGACCCAATTCACACTAATCTGCTCTATTTCAAAGCTCAATATTTTGGCCTGTCTAACACCAGACTATTTTGCATTGTTTGTTGTTAACACATTTAGATGCAATTCATCCTAACACTCCCCACCTTCAGTACTTTGATAGTTAATTATCAGATGATTTTACTCATCAAGATGAGTGTTGGTTATTGAAAGGTTAATAATTAACCGCAAAAGCTGCTGTGTTGGCATATTTAGAAGCAATGTGCCCTACTTTTAGTACTTTGTTATTTTATTAAATATTTGTTCCATTAATGTTCCAGACTCTCCACTTAACAAATAAAATTGTCTGTCATTAGACATATAGTAAAACATAATGATTTGGCATTTGACAGAGTAAAGTTGTTTTCCGTTAGACAGAGTAAAATAATAAATATGGTGCAAAAATGCTTGATGGAAATTTGGCTGCAGAATATAGGGTATAAATTTTCTGTCAGTATAATCATTTTTGTCAAATCTGGCAAAATCTTGACGTTTGATTTATTTCATCCTGCAGATGATAGAAGTTGTAGAAGGATCTGTCATGTTCTGGAATTGCCACCAGTGGGCATATTGCTCTGCAAGATTTTCTAATGAAGGCCCTACACCAAGTCAGGTGATACAAAAAATAAACATGAAAAGTGTAGAAGCCAGGCGTCCACAAAGAGTTTGAATAGTCTGTAGTCAAGGCCACAAGTTGAGAGGACTGAGGACATTATAGATACTGATACATTTATATAGATCAATAAGCACTTAGCAATTGACATTATTGCATGTTTGTATATATAGTTATACCATGGTAATTTAGTTAGACAAACTTTGCAAGTTCATTAAGAAATAGTAAATTAGTTAGCAATTTTGTAATTATTTGTTTATTTATTAACTATGTTATTTATTTGTGTATTGTGTTTTTGAAGATTTTTTGCATGTTAATAAAACTATGTATGCCACCAGTACAATTTTCTTGAGCTGTAGCAAGTATATTTGGAATGGTATGGCCACTTGTTTTCATCCCATACCAAACCCACACGTGTTAGCATCTAGCATTTGGATGTTAACATGGGTTTGGTATGGGATGAAAACAAGTGCCCATACCATTCCCAATATAATATGATAATTGTTGCACCCATATCATTCCCATAGTTTATACATCAAGAACCATATGAATTCCATATCATGTTCCCAGATCATTCCCATATAGAATCCTATCTTACCCATAGCAAAGTTGTTATGAAATGATATAAGGAACCCATGTATTTCCCATAGTAAGTGATATGGGATATGTATGGATTTGTACCAAATACGTATCAAACCCATATCAAAAACATGTTATGGGTATGCTATGAAGGCAACCAGGCCACACCAAAGCCATATACTTCCATATATGGCCCATAGGTTGAACCATATCAATCCCATAGTTTATACATCAAGAACCATATGAATTCCATATCACGTTCCCAGATCATTCCCATATAGAATCCTATCTTACCCATAGCAAAGTTGTTATGAAATGGTATAAGGAACCCATGTATTTCCCATAGTAAGTCATATGGGATATGTATGGATTTGTACCAAATACGTATCAAACCCATATGAAAAACATGATATGGGTATGCTATGAAGGCAACCAGGCCACACCAAAGCCATATACTTCCCATATATGGCCCATAGGTTGAACCATATCAATCCCATAGTTGGTCCATATATGTCCCATATAATTTGGTTTTGTAAGGGTATTCATAGAATTTTAAAACCCAGTCCAAACCTCTTCGTTTTGATCCTGATAGTCTTAATGAATATTTCATTAATATATACTGGCCACCGAGTAATGGGTTCGACCTCTGATTCTACCGAAGATTTACTAAATTATATTGACACACTGACAACTAACAACAAAGAAGATGGGTTTCGTCTTTGCAACATCAGCTGTGATGAAGTTTATCATGTGATAAAGAACCTACGGTCAGACTGTTCTACAGGACCAAATAAAATCCCTGCCAAATATATTAAACTGGTTGACAACATCTTAGCAGGACCTCTGACAAAGATAATTAACAGCAGTATAGATTTAACAATGTTTCCTGAGGCTTGGAAAATATCTAGAATTTCTCCAATTCCGAAAAATGAAATACCAATGAAAGATGAGGATTTATGACCTATAGTAATTCTACTTGTCCTGTCAAGATTTATGAAAAAATCGTGGCCATACAAATGGTCCACTTTCTTGAAACGAATAAAATCCTGGACAAAAGAATAATTGGATACTGCAAAGGACACTCTACTATGACAGCCCTTCTCAAAATTTGTGATGACATCATCTGCGCTATGAAGGAAGGAGAACTGACACTTATCCAGATGATCTTGATACGCGGAAAAGTACTGGCACTAGTTGTCAAATAGAAATCCATTTTATGGTTAAAACAACTGAATATCTCCTGTAATATACTTTATTTCGATTCCATATTTTTGTTAGAGCTATGGTTCTCATAAGCAAACATAATTACAAAATTTCAACTAGTTTCATAAAGAATAACGAAAGATATAATTGACTGAATACATCAAAATGGATTTCTATTCGGACAACCCTTTCTGAGTGCTGATTGGCTAAAATACGAACACGAGATCACCTGGATGGCAATGGCAGATTATTCAGAAGCATTTGACACTGTAAAATTAAAACCACACTTCGTAAAATGCATAATCTTGGGTTCTCCAATAACTTTATGAAATGGATGGGCTAACTATTTATCCAATCGTAGACAATTTGTCCAGATTGATGACCATCAGTCAAAACCTGTCCTTACCTATTTCGGTATTCCACATGCTCCATACTAGGACCGATAATATTCAATATATATGTCTCTGATCTTAAAAAATCCATTCATCCCGATATGTCTCGTATACAGTATGCTGATGACACAAGCCTGTACTCACATTGTCATGTGAAAAATCTTCCAGACTGTTTGTCATCAATATCAGCCAATCTCGCGAATTTAAATGCTTGGTCATCACAATCAAATCTCGCTCTTAATCCAAAGAAAACGGAGGCAATGCTGTTTTCAACTTCCCAAATGGCCAATGTTCACACTCTTGGGGAATTAGATTTGAGCTTAAATATATCTGGTAATCCCCGAGCTGACGGCGCGAAGCACCGTGCGAGGGTACTAATTCCCCCCGGCTATTTACACCTGAGGAAACGAAAGCATTAGCGAAGTTTAAAGTTCATCAATGACCGCGGGCGTGGGTCACCAACGGTGTTGGAGTGTTGGGTGGGCGGTCATCCTCACTGATCTCAAAAATATGGCGGACCAGCGAATTGCCCATAAGTGCTGGTGTTACATGATCATATCTTCCCGTATTTGTCAATATCCTACAAGCAAAATTCTGTACTGCTCTCAATTTCTTTATATTTGTTGCAGAAGTGTTTGACCATACTGTAGAGCAATAATAAAGTTTGCTCATTACTAAAGCATTGATAATTAAACGAAGACTATCCCTATCAAAGCTATCCTTTACTCTTTTTATGTGACACAGCTTGGCCATACAAGATGATACAACATTTTTGATATGGTAATCATATGTCAGATAACTGTCTAGGGTTAATCCCAGGTCTTTGGGATTTGTGGTTGGTGTAATCTCTTCTCCAAGAAATGTAATTGTTGTCTCCTCAAGGAGCTTACTGAGCAGTTGAGTTCCTATCAAGAGTAACTTTGTCTTCTCGGGGTTTGTCAACAGTGTATATGCGAAAAACCAAGTTGCAACCAATTTCAGGTCCTCTTCTATCTTTGTCAAATCTTCAATTGGAAATTACAAAGATCTTAGAATCGTCGACGAATGATTCCAACCCAGATGCTTGTGGTACTCTTGAGAGGTCATTTATGTAGATGCAGAACAATAGCAGTGACAATCTTGCTCCCTGAGGCACTCCATGGGTGATTGGTAAAACTTTGGATACTGGGGAGCCAATGTGAATGAACTGCTTTCTATCTGTAATGTAGCTTTCAAACCAGTTAAGGGCTTCACCTGAAACCCCAATATTGCTTAGTTTCTTTAACAGGATTCAATGGTCCACACTGTCAAACACTTTTGAGAGGTCCAAAAGGACTAGAGCAGCAAGCTTTTTGTTGTCCATCGATTTTAGCAAAAACTCATTGACTAATATACTGAGTGTTTCGGTTGAATGATACTTTTTGTTTCCACTTTGTTGCGAGTCAGTGCGGTTAAGAAAACCGCTAAATTCATTTAGAGCAACTTTTCCGCAGATCTTTGACACTACTTTAAGCATTGAAAGTGGCGGTCATTTGCAGCAACTTCATGATCACCTTCCTTTAAGAGTGGTATAATTTCTGCTATTTTTCAGGACTCAGGGAACACTGAGGTGGTAAATGAGTTATTAGTGATGTCTGTCAATGGGCCGAGTACGACCAGAAGACAATCCTTAATAATCCGCATGCTGATTTTGTCTGGTCCTGGAGATTTATTCAACGGCATTGTTGTTATTATGCGTTGAATCTCTGTGCATGTGATGGGAGTGAACTTGAACAATTCTGTAGAGAAGAGTTCAGATCTCCTATTCTGAGGCTCTAACTCAGTTAATATATTTAAATTATTTTGTAGGGCTAACATTTCAGCTGTTTTGTTTCAGACGTATTTTTGTGATAAGCCAAAATTCTTTAATCTTTAGATGGAGTGCACCTATTAATCACTTTCCACAACGATCTAGAATTATCTTTATGGAGGTTAACTTCAGTTCGAACATGTTATTTTTCAGTAGCTTTTAGAGTCAACTTGACTGATCTTTGGGCATTTTTAAATGCTCCCCAATCATCGATATCATGTGTTTGTTTGTAACAAGGGTGGAGTTGGTCTCTGTGGGACATTTGGTTTTTGATATCGGTTGTGATGAAGGGACAAGAGCGATTTTGGATATTAGTTATTCTAACTGGAGCATGGACAGCCAAAGTTGTAAGAAGGACGTTGTTAAAATTGTCAAGTTTGGATTTGACATTGGAATCCGAAAAGATAGAAGAAATAAGCTCTTGCGATCTTGATGGGCAGTGAACCTTTTCTCTGTCATAGTCCTTGTAGCTTCGCGTTAGGATAAATTGAGGTGGTGGCTATGGGTAGCTTCATATTAAGAACTGCGTACACCAGTAAATGATCACTTATAATAGTATCCATGACACCGCTTTCGTTGACAAGATGGGAAGCTGAAGTTATTATCACATCAATTAACGATTCACTAGTGTCTGTTATTCTAGTTGGTGTTATGGTTAATTGGTTAAAAGTTCTTAGTGCTGTGTTCTCTGGACAATCCTTCATAACGTTACAATTCAGATCTCCCAATATAAAAATGGGCTTGCTTAGTAGAAGGGCTTGGACAAAACTCGGTTTCAAGTTGGTTTCTAGGACAACAGACACTCTGGTGGTCTGTAGGATATGCATATTATGATAGATTTTAACTTCATACTTTGAAGTCTCAGCCAAAGCTGATGGAAATAGTTCTCAGAAATAGATGAAATCTCCTGGAGTTTAGAGACCTTATGAATGTCATTGCAGATATATGCGCAAACACCACCTCCATGTTTATTTAAGCAATCTTGTCTGTATAACCTTCGATGAAGATCTCAGCATTCATTATCGTTGTGTTCAACCACGTTTCTTTATATATATATATATATATATATATATATATATATATATATATATATATATATATATATATATATATATATATATATATATATGGTGTTTCGAGATCATTAAGGAAAGCAATTTGCAAAGTTTTCAGTGACAATAACTTGAAAATAACCATCGAAGCCAACAAAAAATGTTTTGATTACCTAGACATTACACTTAATCTCAGATCATCATCTTACAAGCCATACATGAAAACCGGAAATACACTGTTACACATCAACCACAACAGCAACCACCTGCCACCAATACTACACAGTATACCAGACGCTATCAACAAGAGGCTATCAAACAAATCCTCTGATAAGCAATCCTTCGAGTTGGCTGTGCCCCCATATCAGGAAGCCCTGCGAAAGAGCGGTTTTAACTATGTCCTCAATTACAATTTTAACTATGTCCCCAGTCACCAAAACCTAAACGCAATAGAAACAGAAATGTGATATGGTTTAACCCTCCGTATATAGCGCCAACGTTGCCACCGACATTGGTCACAAATTTCTGCAAGCTATTGATGAATGCTTCCCATCAATCCATCCTCTACATAAACTATTCCAACAGGAACAACCTTAAGTTAAGCTACAGCTGTATGTCCAATGTGCACAATATCATCATGGCGCACAACAGAACTGTACTTGATCGCAAGCAGCCCGAGGCTAATAAAAATCCTGATAGGAAGTGCAATTGCTGCCAGGAAGAATTCTGCCCCCCCCCCCCCGGCAAATGTTTAACTGAAAGTGTTGTGTACCAGGCCACAGTAATGAGAGAAGACCTGCCTCGTACCCAGGCGCTTTCAATAATTACAATACATGAAGTATTCAGGTAGGCAGGCGACGCGCGGAGGGGCTGTTGGGAAGGATGCATGCTGGGGAGCACCTGGCAGTTCTTGTATACTGTCATGGCAGCAAAACATGGAATTTAACACAAAGCGTTACCATATTGTCATATACTCTGTGTGTAAAACCTTTTTTTCTGACGAACTGTCATATTGAACGCCATTGGCAAATAATAATAAATTTTTAGATGTTTGATGACATGCAAAATGTGCAAAAAATTATGAGTAAATTACATGGCAAGTTAACCGTGCGAATATTTCAAATATGTCATTCGGTATTACATAGAGAACAATAGAATGCTATCAGTTTCTTAGTATAAAACAGTAACAGAGAAATGATTAAAAGTCATATACTGATTTCTTTTGTATTAATAACGTCTTTAGCTGAAGGCTCGATCAGTTGATCACAATGCCAATGGCAATTTCTATTAAATGTATACTGTAAACAAAGTCAACAAAAGCCCAAGTAAATAAAAGTTCACAGCCGTAAAGTTTGAAATATTTATTTACAACAGTGCAATTTTATAGTTTGTACCTTTATATAGTTATAGCTTACAAATCTAGTTCCTGCAAGTCTATAGTTCTTCAGTGCTTCGGATGTTGACATGTTAATATTGCAATTAACATGGACTTTAAATAAGGCATATTCATACAAACCAAGAATAACAGCATGAATTCACGCCCAGATGACAGAAGAATATTAGCATTAGTCAATTCAACAAAAACAAGTAGCAAAAAATCGTAAACAACAACGAAATAGCACAACTTGCAAGAAATCGACTTTCTTGCAAGAAATCGACCAAGAACTGCCAGGCGTCTCCGCCGTCTCGCACTTCAAGTGCACTCTTCCCATCAGCCCCTTCGCCCATCTCTCCCCACTACAATACTTCATGTAAACTCGTCATATGCGCATCACTGTTTTTTTTACAAAGAGACGCCTGGGTACGAGACAGAGAGAAGACAACCAGCAGAAAGAAACCTACATTCGACACACAGCGGGCCCATTTAAAGTGAGATACTATAACCACACAAGCTCGTTCAGGAACCCGGAACATAAACATTCAACCGAACTGAGTAAATATATTTGGCAGTTGAAACAATCCAACATTCAATACTCTATCCGTTGGAAAATTTTAAAGAAATGTAAGGCCTACTCAAACAAAACAAAACGTTGTAAATTATGCCTGCATGAAAAGTTTATTATAATTTACTATCCCAAATTAAGCTCTTTGAACTCAAGAAATGAACTAATATCCATATGTAGGCACAGGAAAAAATTCCTGCTCTGCAGCCAATAGCTCAAGGTTACAGACATAGGTTTTAATAATCACCTTCAATATTAATTAGCTGAAAAGATGAAGGAAAACTCAGAAAATGGTTGTTCAAAGCAGACAAAACTTTGTTGGAAAACTTCATTAATGATGAATTAAATATGATAAAACCTCAAAAGTCGGGATTTATGTCAGATAATGTCAAGATAATGACATTATCTGACATAAATCCCTCTTTCTCAGTGTTTAATCCTATACTTAATTGAGAAAATAAACAATAAAATATGTGGTGTTGAAATGTCCCGCAACAACAAGGCCTTTGGTACGATAACTTGAGTAATAACATGTAGCACTTATATCAATTTTCACTTTCATTTTTGTTAATACTTGGGTAATTGGTTATTTTCAATCACAGCTTCGTAATAATTTTTTTCTCTTGGTCTCACATTATTATCCAAACTCTTTCCTTCTCCTTTACCCACAATCCCCTTAAAAAAAACCTGCCGAAGAAGACTGTTGGGTTGAAACATGTATGTACATGGGTTGCCTTTCCTACTTATCTCTCGCCTTTTATATCATGTGCCACAAAATATTTCACCTTTTTTAGTTTCTATTATCGTAGTTTCCATTTATTGACACATATGTTCACCATAGGAGCTGAAATATATAACAACCATTTTGAATACTGGTCCTCTAATTATTTCCTTCATTAAAACTTACGAACAAGTTTAGTACACTGTGTTCATATATACATTTAAAGTTTGTGTAATATGAAACGTTTAGGTTCGTCATGCAGTGTGAGCTTGAATAAACCTTAACAGTTAACCCATTGAGTTGCATTGCACCTTGCTGCACCCCACTTTATTATTTTACTCTGTCTAATGCCAGATTATTTTACTCTGTCTAGTGGCAGACTATTTTTCTCAACAAGGGGAAAGCGTTGGCGCTTATGGGTTAATTAACAGTGTAAATTGAAACATATTCACACATGACCCACCCCTAATGTAGTGCACAATTTTCTCTAGCCCACCCTTTTTTGCAAGCATGAAAATGGCAGTCCATCCCCCCTTTTTCTCCAGCCCACCCCACCATATGACTGGTCCCTTAGATAATGTCAAATCCAGGCACGGATTTTCTGGGGGGGGGGGTGCGCACCCCCCCAGAAATGATTTGCACCCCCCCAGAAATGAATTGCACCCCCCCCCAAAGGCATGTGGCACCCCCGCAAATTACATATATTTTGATTTGATAGTTTCATATTTGATTATTCTTACTACTAAATTTGTAAAATTACCAATATTATGGTCTCAGATCTCGCCATGCAGGCCTAGAAAACAAATTTTGCTAAACTTTTTCCTTGGCCTTTCCGGGCGTTGCCACCACGCCCCGGCCAAAGCAAGCAGCAGCACCCCCCCCAGATATTTATCCACCCCCCCGAACGAAAATATGAAAATCCGTCTCTGGTCAAATCAGTACGCTTTGTTTTTGTTGCATGCCCATACATGGGCATGCAACTTTCATATAGCTCTAAATTTTGTGTCGTGTACGTACGTTGGTTGTGCGTTGTACCGGCGGTGGTAAATCACATGATAGATTCGTAAAATATGACAAATACCGAGTGTTTCCGAGCATAATAAGCATAATTAATAGTATATAAATTTTGAATCATGTGAACAACTGATCATGTGATGTGAATCACTCAATGTTTTTGCCGAGCAAACGCAAGGAAAGTTACATATTCCGCCATATTCGAGCGCCTCAGACGACTTAGAAAACTTAGATCGAGGTAAGTAAAGCTTTGCTGTCTTTAATTTACCTTACATTTTGTTATTTGTTGTGATTTTGGAGCCGTTGTGCTCGCACTGATTATTTATCAGGCGTTATTATATAGTGTGAAAGGCCACGCTATCAAAATATACTCAAATTGAAACAGAGCCATTGTGCTCGCACTGATTATTTTATCAGGGCGCTATTTGCGTGAAAGGCCATGCTCTCAAAATACTCAAATTGAAACGGAGCCATTGTGCTCGCACTGATTATTTATCAGGGCGCTATTAGCGTGAAAGGCCACGCTCTCAAAAGACTCGAATTGAAACGGAGCCATTGTGCTCGCACTGATTATTTATCAGGCGCTATTAGCGTGAAAGGCCACGCACTCAAATTGAACCTTGCCATTGTGCAGGTAAAAAAAGCAGCCCATTGCCATTGTGCTGGGATTATTGAGACTTTGCCATTGTGCAATTTTAAAAGAATTACAAATACAAACTGTCAAAGACAATACTGAAAATACACAGTACACTACTTATTGACAATTACTGTAACAAAACTATTTTATTCCAAACAGTGAGAATATATGGGTGTGTCAATTGAGATATACAGACTAAGAATTGGTTCGCATAACAACTTTGTGCAAGCACGACAGTCCATGAATCAAATGAAAGGTAAATTTTGGAACCATATGTTAGTAATGTTCTACTTAGAAATATTTTATTTACCATGCTTGAAAAATCTAGTTACCAGGATTGAAAGTAATAAAGAAGTTTGCATGTGGTATACACAAATGGTATCTTATGATGTTTATGTACCATTGCTATTGAGGCTTGCAAATGATGTGGAGGAAAATCCAGGCCCAATTAATATCTATGATATTGTTGATCATAGTTTTACGGTTCGAGCAGATTTCAACCAAGGTAATATATCCATGTTTGGCATAAATGCTGGAAAACAATGTGTTGCCATGTCAATTTATGCTATTGTATACAATGAAATAAAATCTGTTAATATTTGGGATACACCACTGATGAACATGCTTCTAGTTAATGCAAACAATCTTTATGCCATAATTAGTCAGCACATTCAGAAAGATTTCTTGCTGCTCACTGATGTTCCTGAAATATTGTCTATCAACAATGATACTTTTAATTTGGAGTACAGTGACTCTTTTTCCGGAGCATTATGGATGGAATACAACAATGAACCATATGTTACACTTGAACATGCCTTTCATGAAGTATTTGATGCTGGTAATTATAAAGCATGTTTACTTACTATTCGAGCAAACACTGTTGCAGTTTTAATGCCTTTCCCAGATGTATTTAAAGTTTTTGATTCTCATTCACGAGATATGCATGGAATGCCAGCAGCAATGGGTTATAGTGTTTTAGTTTCTATTGAAGGAATTCAAAACCTTATACATTTTTTTCACAACACTAACAGTTGTAAGGGTGTGAAATGTCATAGAAACATTTCATTGTCAAATAGTTTGGATAACACAGAGAATGACACAACATCAAATAACCATGAACAACAACGAAAACAACAAGAGACTGTTGTAGAAAGAGAAAACAGACTTGAAAAGCTAAGAGAGAAGCAAAGAGAGAAAAGACAGCAAGAATCTGTTGTAGAGTGGGAAAATAGACTTGCAAAGCAAAGAGAGAGAAGAAAACAGGCAAAACAACAAGAAACTGTTTCAGAGAGAGAGAATAGACTTGCAAAGCGAGGAGAGAAAAGAAAACAGACAAAACAACAAGAAACTATTACGGAGAGAGAGAATAGACTTGCAAAGCGAGGAGAAAAAAGAAAACAGGCAAAACAACAAGAAAGTATTACAGAGAGAGAGAATAGACTTGCAAAGCGAGGAGAGAAAAGAAAACAGGCAAAACAACAAGAAACTATTACAGAGAGAGAGAATAGACTTGCAAAGCGAGGAGAGAAAAGAAAACAGGCAAAACAACAAGAAACTATTACAGAGAGAGAGAATAGACTTGCAAAGCTAAGACAGAAAAGAAAACAGGCAAAACAACAAGAAACTGTTTCAGAGAGGGAAAATAGGCTTCAAAACCAGCGAAAAGCAAGAAGGTTGAAAAGGCAAAATGAAACTGTCGAACAAAGAGAGCAAAGACTAGCAAAAGTAAGAGCTAATTATAAGGAAAATAAAAGTAGACATTCTACAAAAAACAAACAATCTCCTCCATCAGGTTGTCAAGGGCCCAATAATGATAACAATATATCACATAATAGTGTATCACAATTAATACATAAATTCCATAAATCTGTATCAACAGGTCCTCTGTATATATGTTCATGCTGTGATCAATTATCGTATAAACCTAGTGTTTGTCCAGCCGAAAGACTTCGATTATCCAATCCAAATTCTACTAAACATCTACAAGGTATTAAAAGTGTGGATAATATTGAATGGCTGTGTTTGACATGTGACAAACATCTTAAAAAGGGTAAAGTGCCACCCTCTGCAATTACAAATGGCATGAAGTTTCCAACAAAACCTGACTTCTTTGATTTAAATGAATTAGAATGCAGACTTATAGCTCCAAGATTGGCATTTCAAAAAATAATGCAAGCTCCGAGAGGACGGCAACTTAAAATTACTGGTAATGTTGTGAATGTACCAGCAGACATATGTAATACTTTTAACATGCTACCCAGGTTGCCACAAGATACTGGGACTATTAAAGTTCAATTAAAACGTCGACTGCAATATAAGAGTTCTGCCTTGTCTTTGAATGTGAGGCCTAATAAAGTGATGCAAGCTGCAGCTTGGTTGGTAAATACTAGTGAACTATATCAAGAACAAGGAATAACTTTTGATCAACATTGGTTATCATACTTTGATGTTACAACACCTAACAGTGACAATGAAAATATCACAGTAGTTGATCAAACTAATTTAACATCAGAAGATGAATGGAGTGAAGACGAAGCAGAAATTCCTGCAGGTGTAACAGACAGTATGCTTACACCTACTGATTTTGTAGATGATACTGAAAGACAACATATATACAATGTTGCACCTGGTGAAGGTAGTAGACCACTCAGTATTTTTAGAGATCAGTATTCAGAGGAACTAGCTTATCCAGGAATATTCTTAGGTCAAAAGCGGCCAGATGAGAAGCACAGATTGACTCGTGTTCATTACAGTGAAATATGTAAATCAGAACTTAGACGATCTGATCGAAGAGCTGCAATGTGTATTGAGAACATATTTTTTAAAACTAAAAAAATGCAAATGAAATTACTGCTAGGGCAATCTCAACTTGCTATTCGCAAGTGTAAAATGGGAAACAGAACACTTACTGCTGGTGAGTTAAAAACCCCAGAAGGTTTAACAAATCTCATTTGCCATGATGAAGGATACAAATTTTTAAGAGCTTTGAGAGGTTCCCCACCTTACTTTGAAAAAGCCAAAAAGGATTTGTTTGCTATGATTCGGCAGTTAGGACCCGCATCATTATTTTGTAGTTTTTCATCTGCTGAAACAAAATGGAATCATTTATTAAGAATCCTTGGTAAGCTTGTTGATCACAAAGATTATAGTGATGAACAATTAGATAATTTAAATTGGGATGAAAAGTGTAGACTAATTCAAAGTGACCCAGTAACTTGTGCAAGGCATTTTGATTACCAATTTAATACTTTCTTAAAAGATTTTTTAATGAGTGAAATTGCCCCATTAGGGAAGCTGAAAGATTGGTTTTACAGGGTTGAATACCAACAGAGAGGCTCTCCTCACATCCATATGCTCATATGGCTTGAAAATGCACCTGTATTTGGTGTTGATAAAGATGAAGATGTAGTGAATTTCATTGACCAAATAATAACTTGTAGAAAGCCTGATAATAATGACACTGAATTATTTGATCTTGTAAACAGACAAACTCATGGACATTCCCACACATGCCGAAAAAACTCCAAAAAAGTTTTGTAGATTTAATTATCCTCAGCCACCAATGAGATCAACACAAATACTTCATCCACTTGATGACAATGCTTCTGACACTGTCATAAGAGCCAGAAAAGAGTTGTGGAAAAATATTAAGAATAAACTAAATGATTTGAAAGAGGGAGAAGACGTAACATTTGATCAACTTATGAAAGAACTAGATGTTTCAGAATATCAATATATTCTTGCAATTCGATCATCACTAAATTGTCCAACAATATTTCTAAAAAGAAGTCCCAATGAATTAAGGATTAATAATTATAATCCTGCTTGCCTCCAAGCATGGAGAGCTAACATGGACATTCAATTTGTGCTGGATGTATATGCCTGTGCAATGTACATTGTTTCCTATATTTCTAAGGCTCAAAAAGGTATGAGTGACTTGTTACGTAACGCATGTGCTGAAGCTAAAGAAGGTAATTTCACCATCAAACAACAGGTTCGTGACATTGGCAACAAGTTTTTAAACTCTGTTGAAATAAGTGCACAAGAAGCAGTGTACATCATTCTGCAACTTCCCATGAGAAAATCTTCTCGAAATGTTGTATTCATTAACACATCTCCTCCAAGTGATCGCGTTGAACTATTGAAACCTCTCAGTGAGATTGAGAAGATGTCAAACGAATCTGAAGAAATTCACTCTGGTGGACTTCTGAAACGATATGTAGAACGACCAGACAGTTTAAAAAATATTACATTAGCTGACTGGGCAGCATGGTACGACTCATCTGGGCTGAGCAAGTATAAGAAATCTGTTAAAAAATCAGATATTGACAACCTTCCTTTGGAAGATGAAGATGAAAATAATGATGATGACCTAGGTGTTCAAAACACTGAAAGTTGTGTTTCATCTAAAAAGTCGGTCAAAAAAAGATCACATGCAAGAATTATCCGCAGTGTTTGGTTTAACAAAGAATCTCAACCAGAAAAACATTATCGTGAGTTGATCATGCTTTTCACTCCATGGCGAAATGAACAGGCCGATTTAATGGGAGCTTACTCTTCCTTTCAAGAACATTACGAAGCTCGTTGTGATGAGATCAGTGAACAAATGGAACAATACGCGGTTTGTAGTGAAGACTTAAATGAAATTCAACATCACTTACAAGAATGTGATGATGATGCGTATGACACAATAGCACCAGTTACACAAGACAATGAACGTCGGGATGAGCACGAAGGTAATACAGATACACATCCAGATTTAAATGAAACGTATGATGTCTCTGAAGACTTGGGTATCCCATCAAGGTCACCTAATAATGAACCACTTATTTTAAATGAAACGGAAGATGATGAATACCGACGTTTGGTTCAAATGCTAAACAAGAAACACAGGGAATTTTTTTATCATGCTTTACATTTAATGAAGATATCTGATAATCCATTTTATGCCTTTTTAAGTGGAAGTGGAGGGGTTGGTAAATCACACTTAATTAAGTCAATTTATCAGGCTGCTTTAAAGCACTATAACAAACGAGCTGGCGAAGACTTTCGTCGCGTCCAAGTATTATTGCTCGCTCCAACAGGAAAAGCAGCTTATCTAATTAAAGGAAACACAATCCATAGTGCCTTATCAATTCCAGCGAGCCAGTCGCTTAAAATTTATAAACCACTGGACTCTGGTAGGTTGAACACTTTACGGTGTGAGCTGGGTGCATTAAAGTTGATATTACTTGATGAAATATCAATGGTTGGAAACAGTATGTTTACAATACAGTTAAATAACCGTTTAAAAGATTTAAAAGGAAGCAAAGACGACTTTGGTGGTGTTAGCATCATCACAATCGGTGACTTATTTCAACTTAAACCTGTCATGGATGGCTACATTTTCACTGATCTCCAGTCTTTAAACTATTATAGTGTTCTTGCTCCAAATTTATGGAAAAAATATTTTAGAATGTTTGAACTTGATGAGATCATGCGACAAAGAGAAAGTAAGATGTTTGCTGAAATCTTAAACAGGTTACGAGAAGGTAAACATACAACTGCTGATCTTCAAAAGCTGAAGGAAAGATGCGTTCAGGAATCGAATTGTCCTCAAGAAGCTCCACGCTTGTTTATTCAAAATGCTTTAGTAGACAAATATAATGAACAAGTATATGAATCATTTACTGATAATAGATATACAATTAAAGCTCAAGATAGTGTTATTGGAGCAGCTTCAGCTGAACTTAAGGAAAAAATAATGAGGCAAATACCTTATGTTCCGTTAAGAAATTCTAAACAGTTAGCTCACAAGTTAAAACTTGCTGTTGGGCAACGTACAGAAGTTGCAACAAATGTGCGAACTGATGATGGTCTTACAAATGGGGCGAGTAACATTATCAAGTTGATACAGCTCACTGATGTGAATAAACCTTCGGGTCTTATCTGGGTCCAATTTGATTATGAAGATGTTGGTAGAAAAACTCGTCAAGAAAACAGAACGCTTTATGTCAGAGGAATTCAAAGCACATGGACACCAATTAAACCTGTCACAACCCAATTTCCAGTCGGTAGAACGAAATCTGCTCAAGTTGTTAGAAAACAGTTCCCATTGCGACCAGCATCAGCAAAAACTGTTCATAGATCACAAGGTGATACTCAAACACAGATTGTTGTAAACCTAAACAGCAACAGAGCTTTTCCTCACATTCATTATGTTGCTTTAAGTCGAGTTACAACAATAGAAGGATTATACATAACTGACCTATGTGAAGACAAGATATCTGTTGATCAAAGAGTTGTCAAGGAAATGGAAATCTTAAGAACCGAACAAAGTTTGAATCTTTGTTTCAAACCACTTTATATGTTGGATCAATCTGATTTGAAAGTTTGTTACCTCAATGCAAGATCTCTGCATAAACACATTGAAGATGTTCGAAGAGACATTAATTACTCGTCTATGGATATTATGATATTTACTGAAACAAGATTTAACTCCTCAGACACTGACGATATATACAACATTGATGGCTACAGGTTGTTCAGAAATGATGTTTCCCAAGGTACGGGTCCAGAACGTCCATACGGTGGAACAGCTGTTTATAGCCGAGTCCCTTTAAAAGAAGGATACCCTTATGCTCACAACGTCAATGGAATCGAGTTTACAATTATTAAAACAGAAAGTAATCCGCATCTGAATATAATTGCAGTATATCGCTCACCCAATATTGCTATATCACGTCTACTGTCTTCACTACGTAGCGTACTTGATGAAGATTCTTCTGCACAAAACATTATAATTGGAGATTTCAATGTCAACTGGATGGTAGAATCTGATCGACAGTCACTCTACAATTTGATGGTTGTACAAAATCATTACAGGCAACTGATAACAGGCTTTACAACCGACAACAGAACGTTAATTGATCATTTATACACAAATTTAATTGAAGAGGAAATTGAAGCTGGTATTCTAGAAACTTACTTTAGTGATCATAAAGCAATATGGGCTTCTCTTAGGACATAGAAATAATAATTATATACCGTTCAATTAAGGTATCGCAAAGATAGCAAGCCATTGTGCCACTGCGAATGTTATTAAGGCAAGCCATTGCGCCACTCCCAGTGTTATTAAGACAAACCACTGCCCACTGCCAATGTTATTAAGACAAGCCGCTGTGCCACTGCCAATGTTATAAAAATAAGTCCTTGTGTGGACGATGGCTACATTTAGGTAAGTTTTCTTTTTCTCTTTCCCCCTCTCCCTTCCCTGTGTTTATCTGTTTAATTGTGTTTTTTTCTTTTTTAGATATCTCTATACATTAACATGGTCACATTAACGATAACTTCAGTCAACAAAAGTACTAAAAATAGAACAATTTTGGTATGTTACTACGTCTTATTACTATCTAGTCATGTCACGAACAAAGCTCGGACTGTATGGCTTATGAAATTCATGTTACATTATACATAATTGCATTCACTAATACTGTTGCATTAATATTTACAGATATCAGACGTATACAATAATATGCCTTTCATTTGCTGCCTGACAACATTGGTGGATAAATTATATTGAATGATATATCATCTTGTGTCAATGAATATTCGAAAATGAAACAATTCAGTTCAGCTACCAAAGTTAACACGTCTACAGTTGCGTCGTTATGTATTCTGAAAATTCAATGTGGAAGACTTGAAAATTAGGAAAGATGCACAGTACTTGAAGATACAACTTGGATATTTGTAGTACGGCACAGTGTACATTGCACCTGGCTCTGATACCAAAACATGTTAAAGCGAAAGGCTACTCAACAAAGTCGCACGTACAGTACAAAGAAAAGCTAACGCGACAAGGAAGACTTGATAATTAAGAAAGATGCACAGTTTGTTGTACGGTACATTGCACCTGTTCGAATACTCATAATCGAACCAACAATGTTGTTACCTGTTATACCAACAATGGACTTGATATGCATCATAATCAACATCTTCAAACTTAAACTGGGTAGAACATGTACTGTAAAATGCAATAACACGTGTTCTATTGTCATAGAAAAGTGACTCATCTTTTAGTTTTCACTAGCTGAATGTTCGTTATTTATTCACGTTGTCATCGACCATTTTTGGAAAGCTTTGGAAATTGTGGAATGGGTTGTAATTAAATCACTGACTATAAGACTTATAACTTATGACTGTAACCCATACTCTAATTTCAATTTTGTATATACAGTAGCCATCGTCCAATATACATCCTATTTAGTATTGTACTATCTGTGTTGATTATTATTATCAAACGTTATCTATCGTTGCATTAGTTTACTAATGAAGTAAGTTTTCTATAGATGTCTCGTGTTAGAAAATCTCTGCAAGCCTAGATTTAAGCAAATATTTGCTTATAACATAGACCGATGGAGGGGTGTGCACCCCCACGTAAGCCTGTGCACCCCCCCAAATGGTTTTGTACATTAGTTATAAGGTTTTATTCAGTGGTTTTATTGGCATGCAACATGTACGCGCTGCGTACCTATTTTTAAAATTGTTAGCAACTTGATAGAATAGCATGACATTGAGACACGGTTTGCTTAAAATCAACACTCAATTTTCACTCTTGAACACTGTAGTGCTTACAAAATTGTTGCTTTGTGTTTACTGTTAATTTTTTTTTTAATTTAATAAGATTCGGCTACTATTTAAATACAACATGGCTCTATAGCCAGGGAATTCGCCACAGGTTTCCCCAATTACGGCGATCCCATATAAACAAGAATAAAATTACTGTACAAAACAAATTTTCAAGCAACTCAACAAGCTAAAACTAATAAGGCTAATAACGGAAATCCATACTGTCCAAGTTCAATAATATGGATTATAGGACTAACAACAACTTATTACATTGTTAAGCGATCTTGCTCTTTTGCACTTTACACACACTGATTTCCAGGTGCGCGGATCGTCACATTTGAATGTTTTGGATAGTGCATGTTTGTAGTAGAGTTTAAGACCTGATTTAAAAGACAACAAACCTATATCTCTAGTACGCAAGTTACTATATAATATGTTCCACGTTTTGCAAGTTCTTATAAAAAATGAGGTCTGGAATGTTACGGTTTTCGCATAAGGAATAACAAATCTAATTACGTTTGCGTTGGATTCACTTCTTGTAATTCCTGATCCAGCCATGATCGGTGGATTGCTACTGTTACTACTGCTTGTTGTTGCTACTCGTAAGTCAATTTATTATAGATTACATTTCAGCCTGAATTAGTAGATGCTCCAAATACAGTAAAACTAAAAAATATAGCGTAGCGAAATAGCGAAATATTTCGCTACATTTTTTAAGCAGTAGCTGTAGTCAGTAGCGAACTACCTTTGTTCAAAAGTAGCAGTAGTTGTAGCTGACTACATATTATTTAAGTAGCTGTAGCTATAGCGAACTACAAAAATTTTGTAGTCAACCCACCCTTGAAAATTACTGCACACACGAGTGCATAAAGCAAAATTTATGCATTTATTTAATGCACAACAACAGTAATATGATCTATTAGCAATTCGATTTCAATTCCCAGGGGCCTAAAATCTTTTATGCTTAAGAATTGCAAAGTGATTTCTTTCCGAGGTTGCGTTTTTTTTTATACACCCTGTATATCCCATAGAGCACACGTGACCATGATTTAATTGTGACGCTAATTTCAAGGGTTTATTCAAGTGTGAAGATAATAAATTTAAATAATGATATATCTAAACTTCCAAATCTTTGAGTTGAGATTATGGAGAAGTTTTCGATCAAATCCATCGTTCTAAAATGGCATTACTTTTGGTGCGTTGGGAGTGTGGTTGTCTACTCAGAATTCAGTCATCTATACATGAAACAACTTGGTTTAAGTCCGCGACAGTTTGGATTTACAAATCTTATGGGAGTTCCGAATATAATAATACCATCATGTCTATTCATTTGCGACAAATTTCGGGCACGAAAACTTTTGGTTACTATTGGATTATTTTTTCTGGTCGTATGTTATTTTCTGCCGCCGCTTCCTTTAGTTTCGTCACCAGCGCCTTCTTGCCTAACATCAAACAAGTCGATAGCGTCGAGATCTAAACATTCTGTCAATGGTTCAGTGCTTTCAATAAATTCTAGATATTTCTCTACAAATAACTTCACCGACAATGCTGACTCGGCGCGTCGAACCGAGAAAGAGACAAGTTATTCTGAAAATGTTTCCCGGGTTAGCAAATTGTTTCTCCTAATGGTTGTGTCCAGATCAGCATTTGAATGTCCACATCGAATAGTCATAGCTCTAGCAGATGTGGTTTAAGGTTACAGAACACCTTTGAGTGTTAATTTTGCCTAAAATTTTTTATTGGTTTCAATGAAAGCATTAGACCAGTTCTACTATCTGACCAAGTTTGAACGAAAAATGTTGAAAACTCGCAGAGTTATTTAATAAAATACATTACGCTGCAATAAGAAAAACGTTGAAAATGTAATATTCAAATTCAATTTTCTCACGAAAAATTTTACGGTAATTACTGATTTTCAAACGAGTTGTGCTCCTGCGGGTTTTAACCAATTTTTCTCAAATTTTTGCAGGACATAGCTAAATACGTCAGTTTCAAAATTGTGTTCGGCTTTTTTTAATTTTGGATATTTTAAAAATAAAGAGCAATTCACTTAAACAATTCAGAAATATATTGCAGTCGTCAAAGAAATCGCCATATCAGCGGAACGACGAAGTAAACAAAAATTTCCGAACACAATTTTTTAGAACAACTATTTTACTGTATAAAAATGATATTTTTATAAATATTACTTAAAACCAGCAGGAGCACAACTCAACAGCGTAAAGGTACCGCGATTTAAGATTTTCCTGAATAATTCTTATTTTATTGTTTGTTAATTTTACAACTTTACCATATTTTGCATACACTGGAGAACATTTGGTGAAAATTTTATGAAAATCGGACTGATATTGAGCGCGCAGTAGCGATTTTCCGCAAAACGCCAAGAAGGGTGTCCGGTAACCTTAAAGAGAAAAGGCCAAATTACGGTGCATATTTTATGTGGAGCCATATTGGTGCCATGGTGGAGCCACATGAAATTTAACACGATGATTTTAAACCATCCTCATCAAATGACGGTGTTCGATTTTTCATTTTCGATTTAGGGGCAATGTACAAGCAATTCTTGTCTGATCGAGTAGAATAATTTTATTCTTATCATTAATTAATATTCACAGCAAACCCTAACCATAACAAAGATCGTCATAAATCAGCGACTAACCATTGAATTTGTATTTAATCGTTATTCTAATTTAATGTTTATGATCGCTTGTTCATGACTGTCATTGTTGTGGTTGGGGTTTGTCTGTTTATGGACGTGGTATTAGTGAGCTGAAATTAACCAAAAATTTCCCGCCCTGAATTAATTCTTCAAGCTTTTTCACTGGACAAATAGGGTGTAGATAAAAGACGTATACCGACTGAGTAGCAGTTTATAAACACATTATTGCTACCGCAACTAATACCCTAAATTAAAGTATACTAGCCTATAATATCTGTAAAATAAATATGTTTTCACCCGTTCGAATTCTTAGCATGCAATAAAATTGTTTATTATATAAACATAAGTGTTATATAGAGTTTTTGGCCACTGAGAAAAATCTTATTTAAACACACGTAAAAAATACGATATTTTTACGTGTGAAAATATCATTTGTTGTAAAACGCATTGCTACGGACGTTTTATTGTTTTTCACTGAATTTTGTTTATATAATAAACAGAAAAATACATGGGTGCTTGAAAATACCAGATTTATTTCTCGTGTTGAACGAACATGATCTCTCACTCGTTCGCTGCGCTCACTCGTGAGGTATCATGTTCAACACTCGAAATAAATCTGGTATTTCCGCGCACCATGTATTATTCTCTATTAATCAGCATTCAATGTGTGTCTATATGATATGCTATACGCCGTCTTTCTCAGGAAACTTTTAGAAATAATTAGTTTCGGAGCTTCTGTTATA